AGGCTGGGGCCGTTCGAGTGCAGCTGCGGCGGTGCATAAGCGCTCGGGATCGCCGCGAAATGGCCATCGTTCGTTCGGTCTCCGTTACGTAACGGGCAACTGGACCGACCTGCAGAAACCGGCAACGCGAGAGAGCCGATTACGTAAGCGACGAAAACGATGGCCCGGCTCGGCCATATTTGGCCCGCGTTTCGCCCGGTGCCATTTTAACGTGCCGTCCCGTTATCTGCGGCCGCGCCGCGCGTTCGCCAGCTTCGAGGTTCGGACGCCGTAGAATAGAGCCCGATTGAGACTAATCTGCACAGATCACGGCATTCGAGGATAAATGGCATCCTCGTTGCAATAAATGACGCTTCCAGTAGAGAAAATTCCGTCTATTGACGATCGCCCATTTATCCCCCTACGGTGTTCATAAAAACTTGCACCGATCGTGTCACATAGAGCCGATTAAAAAACAAAAACGCTTTGGATAATTCTACGTTTTCAAGGTTATTGTATGAAAGAATATGATAATTGACACAAAAATACAGATGGAAGTAAACATTTTTATTTATGAAATTACTGAAATGTGTCCCCCTAAGAACGGAAATGTGGAAATAGTGAATTAGAAAATTAGAAAATATGAAATATTTTAATTTTGCGCTCACTGCAATAATAGTTTATATGGTTTTTTGTGTCATACTTAGGGATAAGACAGTTTTATTTTTCCTCCGTTATCCACAACTATGGTTGTAGTTTCTGTAAAAAAAAACTCGATGATAGTTTATTGTATCTGTCGGTGAAAATGTCCTTCGACACGGCACCCATTAATCTATTAGCATATATCGATTTCTATTCCTTTACTTATTTATTGAATTCATCTCTTTATTAAATCTTGTCCGAGTCCAGTGTGAAATATTCGAATGGATTGCGGCTACGAAAAAACTGTTCAGACAAAAGCTATTCAGTATAAAAAGTTGTCTCACATAAGTATCAATAATTTTGTCATTTACGGTGCAGGATGCTTGAATCTTGATATTTCCTTTTAAATCGAGGTATACATTTTCTCGCATTCCTATCACGACTGTACTCGGTTAAACATTTTGAGAAATCTCGCTAATGCTTTCGTCTTGCGGATCGTAATAACCCGAAGGGTTAAGCCGGCGGAAAAACATCGTGAAAAGAGAACCCACGACGACGGACCAGGGTTCGTTTCAAAGCTCTGAAAACCGTCGGTATCCGAGTGCACGACGTTTGAAGTGCCGCATGAGTCATGCCCATTAGAATGATCATGGACACCGGCGACGGCTGGCGAACGCGATTGGCGAGTTCGAGAGGCGCATCGCGCGAAAGCACCGGCACGCCGCGCGATGTTGTTTAATTTACGATTCGCATGAGCGTGTTCGTATAAGCTAGCCATCGTCCAGGATGTGTCCGGGCTGCCCACAGGCTCTCCCCCGACGCCCACCACGATCTCGAGGGATCGCCGAGGTCAAAGACTCTCGGCTCACCTTCCTCAACCTTGTCCCGGGCTAGTCGCGCCGCGAGTTTCTTCCTTCCCGGGACAAATTGTTCCCATCGGCATACCAGCCCTTAAATTATGCAGACCCTCGCGCCGACTTAACCGTCGCCATTTACTCTCGGGACCTCTCGCTTCGCCACATCCACGATCCTCCAGCTCTACAACCCCCCCTCCCTTCCCCCCACCGAGACCTTTATTTTCTATCTAATATTGTTTCGCAGTGCACAGTGCCCGACCCTTCGGCCACCTTCGCCTAAGAGATACGATCCCTTCGACCTTTATTTTCTGCCCAATGGTATTCCACGGTGTACGGTATCGAATTGTTCAGCATTCGACGCGTTCGCCGCCAGCACGACGTCCACGATTTTCTGTCTCGCGCAACGAACGCCGAGCCAATTTTGCGCGTATAATTACTGAACATTGTAGCGAGTGATACGACGTTTAAATAATTTATAGATTATTAGGAAACGTGGTTAATTCTCGGAGGCACGCGATTTTAAAGAAAATCAAATCCCAGAGAATGTTCACGCGACAAGAGAACTTATTTTGATTCTTTTTATTTTTGTTATTTTTATTTTTATTGTCAGGTTTGGTCCCGTTTCTACGTCTTTCTTGTTCCACCTACGGTCGTTTAACCGTTTGCGTACCAGATGGTTCTGAAAAAACAGGATCGGAAAGCGTCGAAGAGCGCGATCGCGCTCCTTCGATTATGTGTCGAAAAAAGCCGAAGAGCGCGATCGCGTTCCTCCGATTATGTATCGAAAAAAGCCGTAAAACATAAAGTGAAACGTTATGAATGAAAATATATATATACTGTTGCGAATTACACCATTTCTTTCGCGTCGCGGCATTTTATTTACAATAAAGAATATCAACTATAACACAATTCGATATAATAACAATTCGGATCTTTCAGAAGTGGGATGTTGATCGTTCGACGGTCCGATCTCGACTCTTCGATTGTCCGTTGGTAACGCACCTCCGTGGCAACCCCTATCTTCTATTATTCTTTAAGGAGTTGTTCACAACAGGGTAGTTTCACATTACAGCGACTTGATTTGGACAAGTCGCCGTAACAATACTATTAATTTAGAATAGGTAACAACAAAATGCAAATTGGATTACCGACAGCGATGCGACGCGCGACGTATGCATGCGTCTGAAAGACTGAGCGCGTTTCGACAAATTTCGGGTGAGCCGTAAGTCGTCTGTTTCGGCCGAATGCCCTGGCTTTTCTCGACAGAAAATCTGAAGAGCGCAAAAGTGGCTCGTGGTACGCACCCTGTGCGACTTTGCTGGGCGAACAAAAGTAAATTTCGACGAACAAATAAGCGGTTCGTGCTTCATTTAGAAGTGCCGGTTGCTTTTCCCGCATAATGTACGGGGTGTCCGGAGCGGAGCGGCGATGCAGCGAGTTGATTATCTGGAAACGGCAGGAACCAGCCAACGGTCCGTTAAGGACACGAGCACGCGTTTGCATGGCGGTCTGCATGTATCGCTGACATGAGGCGTAGCAAAGAGAGCCCAGGCCGAGCGTTAGCTGGCGGCGCGAGCACCACACGTCTCTCCTCGTAACGCTCGTAAGAAGAAGGCCGTAAGTCCGGTCACATAACGGTCCAGTTATGGTATGGCGAGGAAGAGATCTCTCGCCTCGAACACACGATTCCCTCGTTACACACGGCCTGCCTGTTCCCTTCCGTCGCCGCCATCTCCGCCTCCATCTGTCTCCTCTATGCTTCATTCTCGTTCTATGGTTCATCTATCGCGTGCTAGCTCGCGCCTCGCTCTGCCAACCGCGATAGTTAAAACAATCGTTCGAATCATTGGCGCTGGAGCGACGCCAATTTTCGTGGCGTCGCTGAACAAAATCGTTACATTTCGTTCGAAAACCATTTTTCACAAGAATTAACCGGTGTTATCGCGCTATTTTTAATATATTATTTATTTTTAGATTATTTCTCGATATATGAGCCGTTTATTTTGAAAGTGGCATAAGTCACGTTGTTTTTAAGTCGATATATTTAAGGGTTTGCGTTTTAACACGTTTAAAAATATGGATGCTAACTTTCGATAAGATTTACTTGTATTTGTTGTCTCAGGATACTGATATTTTTCTCAGTATAAATAATTTCGTATAAACATTAAGAAATCACCACTTTTCATTACGGTGAAGTGACTTCTGCCACTTTCAAAATAAACGGCTCATATATTTATTTAACTTCTGTACTCCGCGATTGACTGTACTCAGCATTTATATTTTATATTTTTATATTTATATTTATATTTATATATTATATATTATATATTATTATTATATTATATATTATATATTATATATTATATATTATTATTATATTATATATATATTATATTATATATTATATATTATATATTATATATTATATATTATATATTATTATTATTATAAATTATATATTTATATATTATATTTATATTTACATTTATATTTATATTTCGTACGAAGACCCGCAGTTCAATTGTCAGATTTGTTTACATTGAACAGAACCGTAGGGTCAGAGGAGCCGGTTACTGTCGACTGACCGATTGCTGCGCCTTTCGTTTGTTCAATTAACATTCCGCTCGTCGAATGCGACATATTAAATTTTTGTATTCGGAAATAAACAATACAAAGGAATACAAGGATTTAATATGTCAAGATTGTATTTTATCGCTGCAAGTTTTATCGCGTCCAAGTTTTACCCCTTAGGATCGGGATACGTACCTTGAGGATCCCTCCAAGCCTCTGCGAAAGTAAAGCTAGGATTGCTAAAACAGGTGACCTTGAACTTGCTAAAGATAACCAGCTTCCTGAGAAACTCTCCTCAAGGAGCTTCCGCGAAACAACGAATTACGAAATCGTTTCCGTCGAACGTTCGATTTGTCGATTTCGTCCTTGGGCTTCGATAGCCCGGAGCCGATCGCGACGTCTCGTCACTTATGATTGCCTTGAAATTATCCTCGCCAGCAAAAGAAAGGCCCCATTATCCGCGCCGATATCAAAATTGCTGTACGTCCGCGTGCCCTGTAATCCAACGAAACTGCCCGGTATCGCGATGTTATTGCCTGTATGCGCTATAGATTATCCCCGGGTCCGTAATCGGTCCCGATGTCTCGATTGCAGAATTAGCGCAATTATCGATCGGCGGGCTACCTATACAAAGGCTGTACCTACCTACAAAGCGTGCCGAAGGGAGATCCCGAGGAACACGCCTACCAGCGGCGAAACATCAGAGAAATCAATCTGGCAGTTTCGTCTCATTAATCAAGCTAATAGGGTTATTATGCATGCCCGATTCGTTTATGGTCGCCGGTAGGAGAGTATAGTAGACGTCGTACCAAAGCTCCGAGTCTCGTCTCCCTTTCGACGACGCACGGTGGTAGATTACAAGTTGTCAGGTTGTCACGACTCGCGAGGGAAGCATAGGTGAGCATTTGTTTTTTTCTTTGTTTGTTGCGGATCCTCTCCGGCCGTACTTACCAGCTCGGTGGGCATGGTGTTGCAAGACCTTAGGGGCAGGTTGTAAGTTATGGGGGTGGGCTGGCTCCTGTACTCCTGAAGGCAGGAGCTGTTCTTCGACAGGCCCCGCGGATACACCAGACCATGGAAGTCCGTGTTGCCCTCCGTCGAGATGCGAACGATTATCGACTCGCTCGCGCACTCGATCTGCACCGTACTCGCTATCGCCGCGGTGGCTGCAACAGATTGTACAGGAAATGTAAATCATTATTCGGGAGTAATTTATTTATAGGGGCTGGATGGGTCTGTTCTAGGATTATGGTCTAATAGAAATATGTTTCTAACGTGTGGTTGCAGAAACTGGTCGATGCGAATGGTACTTTCGTGGTAGAATTCTTAATTAACAAATTCGTAAAGTTAGAATTTTATTATGCAGAAAAATGCATGTCATGATAAATTCGGAATCTGGCTGGAATTTTATTGCGCAGAAAAATGCATGTCATGATAAATTCAGAATCTAGCTGGAATTTCTTTATGCAGAAAAATGCATGTCATGATAAATTCGGAATCTAGCTGGAATTTCATTATGCACAAAAATGCATGTCATGATAAATTCAGTATCTGGGTAGAATTTCATTATGCACAAAAATGCATGTCATGATAAAATCAGAATCTGGCTAGAATTTCATTATGCACAAAAATGCATGTCATGATAAATTCAGTATCTGGGTAGAATTTCATTATGCACAAAAATGCATGTCATGATAAAATCAGAATCTGGCTAGAATTTCATTATGCACAAAAATGCATGTCATGATAAATTCAGTATCTGGGTAGAATTTCATTATGCACAAAAATGCATGTCATGATAAAATCAGAATCTGGCTAGAATTTCATTATGCACAAAAATGCATGTCATGATAAATTCAGTATCTGGCTAGAATTTCATTTCATGCACAAAAATGCATGTCATGATAAATTCAGAATCAGGCACTGAAATCGATACAAAAATATAGAAAAATGCTCTCTTAAGCTGCATGAAAAATGCACTCTTAATTTGACTAAAGAAATGAATTGCCTCGAAACGTATTCGATTGAACCGAACAAAGATATTGGATTTGAATTATCCAATAATCCAATTAGCCCCTATATCTGTCGCGAGAATCAAGCGATGACGAGTATACTCGTCGAACACAGAGTAAACGCCGATGTTAAAATATTGGATCAAAAAGACGGCTTAATTAACAATTCTGCTGTAGGGTGGTATTCAGCAGAGCAAGGAACGGTACATAATGGCACTTTGCACGTCGAACGCCAATATCGTGATTCTTTCCTAATCTTATTGTTATAACAATGTATCTTCGTGTAGCATTCTCAAAATATTCTAAACATCTTGAAGTTTGAGAATTCGTTTCTGTTTTCACTAAAATCACAATTTAAATAGCCAATGGTCACTACTTTTTACGAGTATACTCGTCATGCCACTTATCCATGACGAGTATACTCGTCGAACACGTCTAACTGGTTAACAAAGTAATTTTTCGACGAAAGTCGACGAAAGTTAGTAAAAAGAAAGAGATAATCTGTCGAACCGAACGTTAAGCGGCACGATCGGAAAAATCGATGAACCGATTCCCGACGAATCGTTAACAAGAAATCAAAGCCACACCTCGTCGGTTAACGAGACACGGTTCTCGTCTACGTACAACACTCCCCCGATGACTTATCAATTGAATCATTGAAGACGTCACGTTTTACAGTTCTAACTGTAAATCGGCTGATGAAGTTCGCTCGCGATGCCGTCGAAATCGTTACCGCGAGTGCGAATGATATAACGGTACCCTTTCGTCGATCAATTATAATCAGTATCGCACTTCAATTCGCACGGTCTCACGATACACCGTTCGATCGGGATCGTCGAGTACAGAAATTGATCGTTGACCATGCTGTTCACGCTTTCAACCGGTAGTCCCGAGGTCGACGAACCTCTCTATTCCTTTGATTATGAAGAAACCTCGCACTTCATCGCGCGAGTCCACAATTTCTTGCGAGTTTCTTGCGCGTAATCGTGGACTGGCGAATTTATGAATTAAGAATTTTAAGCAGCGCGTAAAAATCGATTGCGTGTTTTTTTTCTACCGATTTCGATGCCTAATACAGATTCTGAATTTATCACGACACGCGTTTCTATAGATAATGAAAATCTAACTTTACGAATTTATTAATTAAGAATTCTAAGCAGCGAGTAAAAATCGCTTGCACTCTTTTACCAATTTTACTGCTTCAGTCAGAGTTTGAGTCCATTCTGACACACATTTTTGCGCCCAATTAAATAGGAACTTTTAAACTGCAGGTCTGAATCGGTTGCACCATTTTTTTTGACTACTTCACACCGCGGTCCAGAGTTCGTTTGCCCCGATGCTGGAGCCAATGTCTCCCGTGACAAATCGCTGAATCGCCAAACGTTTTTTGCGCGATCCCGTGACGGCGAAGTCGACGATGAGCACGCACTATTACGTGGCCGTTCTTTCGCGGCCCATTAAAACGTTCGGTCGAGCGATCGCCGTCGCGAAAAAACGATCGAGCGAAACCGAAAAATCCGAATGTCTGTACTCTCGCCGGTAAGACCGTTCGTTTTTTACGGGATCGGTTGTGAACAGGGGGGAACTGTACCGTTTCCGATATAGCTCGCGTGGAAATCCCGCAATTCGATTGTGCATTCGGTGACCTGCCAGCAATTAGTCGCTCCGGTGCGTTCACCCTAATAAAACAGCATTGTTACTGAGCCCGCCTTCGCGATGCTAATTACGCTCGTCATTACCGGGATCCGCGGTCGACATGCCTGATCTTAACACTTTGTGGACCCGATGCCGCGTAAATGCGCACAGTTTTGCTATAATCGTAAATCTCGTCGCAGATGTCATTTCATCTCCGACAGTTCACGCTTGACGAATGAAAGGTACCAATTGGTATGCTCCGTGATTCAATCATTTTCTATCGTAATATAGGAAATATCGTGGAATATTATAATCAATCCGCGAGTAGAATTCTCAGTGATTATGGTGGCGTGAAACTACGGCATGGGACGTATTTCATTTCAAAGAAGAAATTTAACTGAATCAGAGTTAGGCGACATTTTATTCGGATAACGGATAAGAGACGAGGATCAAGGAATAAAATTTTATTTGACGTTATCGAATAATATTTCATTCGACATTATCGAATAAAAATTGATCTAGATAACAGTTCGTCCGAACAAGATATTATTCGAATAAAAATTCATTCGAGTAAGGAAGTTATTTGTTATTCGAGAATAAGAATTTATACAGAAATTAATTGAATCGATTTTTCGGCAAATGTTAATACGAAGTGAATAACAACTTCGATCATAAGCGATCTTAATTCGGTGTTCGCCACTTTTACCTCGCACCGCAGTTTTTATAATAATAATAATAATAATAATAACGTCGAAACTCGAATCTATTAAACATCGAATTTTAATACTCAATCACAAAGTATCTGCTAGTTTATTTGATGGCCGAACCGATCATTATTTTCTCGAACAGCCAAGCTGGCTATAATTGAATTTAATTGGCCAGGATACACAGCGGTTCCGAGAAAAATCATTTGCTTTCTCCGATACGCGAGCGTAATAATTATAATCTTATTCTTCTCATAAGTGTATAAAATCTGTGGCCCATAAAACGCTACTAGAACCTGTTCCGTTCATGGTCTCGGGAGTTAAACATTTCTCAATTAAGAACGCTTGTAATTAACGGAACGCCTGCAGTACGTCCGGGAGATCGGCTCGGCGAAATTTCTCAAAAACAGATCGACGATTTCGTGGATCTTTTAGATCGCCGTGCAAGAAGCCGGGGACGGTGGTCCCGTTTGGGATCGTCCCAGCTGCCAGACGCGGTTACGAAACCACGTGAACGCTAATTGTTCAGCCGCGAGCGGCCGCGAATTAAGACGGGATTCCGTCGCTCGGTTCAGCTCGCGTGCAATTAATTCGCCTGCTTAAGCGGCGGGGCTCGTTTAGACGAGCCCCGGCGAGCCAGCCAAATGACAATGATCATCGCCGGTTTAGCATTACCGGCGACGGGAAGAAAGACAATGATGAGAGAGTCGTGAACTTGACTCTCCGTGGCGTCCTCGGTTTCTCCGGGACCGAAACCAGCCACGTTCGATCGCCGACAATATAAATAAACGTCGCAGTTCGCGCAAAAAGGCTTCGATAATTCCTCGTCTACGATTTTAGAATAGCGATTATAAACGCTTCTAATGCGTCCAACAAATTTTTCTTTATAATTTCCAATATCTGGCGCGCTGAAGCATCATGTCGAATGCGATTCAAGGGTTTCCGCTATTTATTTCGGCGTGCTTGTTTAATAAAAATATCAGTTGGCAATAAAATAAATAAATAAAATCTTAATAATCTCTAAATAATAATTAATTAATAATCTCCAAATAAATAAAATCTTCAGTTGGCAATATTTATGATAATTTAGCGTGCAATTCGAGTGGTCGTCATCGTCATGTGCATGTAACTTCCACGATCTCGTTAGTTTTTACAAAACTAGACAAAGTGTTATTCAAGATCGTAAATTATGATCATCGTGCCATCTATGCTGGCATGCAGATACGCGAAACGCAAGAAAACCAGTTTACTAACATAAATAAATTATTGTTATTATACGATCTCCGCGGAGTAAACCATGAAAATAATAACTTGCTCGAAGATCCGCGGTCGCGGCGTAATATTTTATTAAATATTATTTTAACGCATGGTATTATGTCGTTAAAAAGTTCTGCAACGGTGATGCACGGCGTTGAATAAATTATTCCAGCAGTGTGGATATAAACGGAGGGGAAAAATCGAAGACGATAGCATCGAGCGCGTTAAGGCTGCGGCGAACGGAATGTCTCGGTAACAACTATGCAAGCTTTGCATGAGAATGTAATAGCGCAATAATGAAAACAAGAAGGTGTAGCATCGAGGCATTAGCTACGCTGCAGATTTCAATGGTCGGAATTGTCAACTGTGTCACGTTGGAGATTTCAATGCGTGGCAATATACAATCGTTGCATCGGGGACTTGAATGCTTGGTGACGCGGGAACACTGCCGCATCGGAGATTTCAATGCGCGGCGCCGCGGCACTGTCGCATCGGCCGTGACTTCAGCCTCCGCTAAATTAGCGTTGCAATCATTAACAACAACGTCGAACTGTTGCG